GTGTTTATAAGAATCTAGACATTTTCTGTTGGCAGTGCAGTGGAAGCTAGCACCTCTTCAAAGCATGCTCACCCACACTCAGATTATCTGCCAGTGAAAATGCTGTGTGCACTCGGCAGTGATAACAATAGCAAACTTTCTTTACTTCAAAGTAGTCTCAGATTCTATTATGTATTATGTATATTTTTGTTGTGGGGTTCCCAAGGGGGCTCTTCAATGAAACACTAGAGTTATAACTTTCGGTTATTCAGAATGCATTTAGCAGGAAGTAGAATAATTTTTAAACATGCTCTTGGATGAATAGTGACCGACCAGTAAAATAAAAAATAAATAACTACATAAAAATAAAAATAAAATCACAATATGACAATTATTATTAGAGACAAAATGAGATTTTTATTATAGTATTATAGATACATTAAAGAGATGTTTTAGTAGCTTTGATTCAGAGTACCTACACACTAAAGAAAAGGAAAGATCAATTTGAAATAAAGCAGAAATACAATAAATCGAATTTTCAAAAGTACAACTGAACTGCTCAACTGCTCAGTTTCTCAACGTATTGGTAAATAACATGGTGACACGTCCTCCCCATTGCAGTCAATGGATTTGCAAGCATTTGCTTACTCAGTGTAAACTCTAGGCTCCCTTAAGACCAGAAGCAAATATTGTGTTAAGAATTATTGGTAAATTTGATTTACTGCCCTGAATCAGTTCAAACCCAGTGCTTTCAAGCAGTCTTATAAAATGTCTTATTCAGTTATTTGTTTGCATCCTCACACAACATTCACAGAAGTTTTAGTGTGTCATTTTACATGCATACAATGTTGAAAACATATGTAGTAAAATATTGCTTTTTTTATTAGGCCTACTATGCACTGCCATATAGGTGTATATAAATGATAAAAATTACTAATTAATAAAATAAGTAATTTAGCTGGGTTTTAGTTTAAATTTACATTAATAGCTGTTTGATTGAAATTATGGTTCCTTTGATTTAAAATAAAATACTGCATTGTTTGTTTGTTTTTTTCAGCTATATTGTCCAGTCCTATCACGTAATGCTTTCTGTTTGATCATGTTCCCCATACTGATTCATCAAACCCACTGAATTACGGTGTTAGAGGGACCTTATTTTGTCCACATTACCTACTTTTGAGGTTTGCTTTCTCGCTGGAAATCAAAGTGTAAAACCTAGTTCCGTAATCTGGTATTGTGTCTTTTTTCTTCCATTGGGTGACAGCAGGTTGCAGAGATTTCGTAATGGGACACCAGTGCCACCATGTGGTGTTCAGTCTCACAGAAGCACGTTTGGTGGTCAGTCTGTCTTGCAAGCACTGGTCAGCAACAGAACTACAACAATGACTCCATTAGAATTCACTGCGGATCGTCTATCATGCAGCAATGGCATTTCCAGGCTGTGTGTGATATAATGCTTTCTGTTGCATAAAATTATGAACTGATGCGCCTCATGTCTTGGAAGGGATTTGTTGAGATTGTGTGTTGCCATAGAAATCTGTGAGTTGAAAGCAAATAATTCCAATAATTACATTTTCATATTTTAATTAAAGTCACGTTTGAAATCAAAACAAGTTCAATGTCCTACTTTTTAATTGTTCCAATCAAATTCCTGTTGAAGTGAACTGATTACTAAAGTTATTTAATCAGAAAAAAAATTGAAACAGTGCCACTGCTTGATAGTATTAAAAAATATGACCTCATTATTTCAATATTATAGGAGGAGTCAAATTATGAAAAGCAGCACTGGGAACATAGATACAGTGGCCCCAATAAGAGTTTGCATAGCACACTTTAAAATGTATCAGGTTCTTAACATACAGAACATCTAACAGATTCACAGTTGTTTTTGTTTTTTTGTTCAACGTATAAAATCAAGAAAAGGGTTGCAAGAAACTAGTCTAAATAGCAGTATTACTATTAGTAGTAGCGCTTCGAAACTCAATGTGTTAATTGACATTTCTTTATAATTATTTGTGAAATTTAGCAGTTACTGATTGAAAACAGTTAATCCTACACACAGTGCCAATCCTAGACTTCTGGGGGCCCTACGCATTATGAACGAATGAATGAAACGCATTTGTCCGTGTTTCACTCCATCTCGAATCACGCTCGTGGAAAGCGCTTGAGAAACAGTGTCTCTTCCGCGGCTCGGTACGCTTTCAACTAATTTTTTAGTCTTGAGCAAGACTGTACGATATTCACGTTACATGATTTGACAGATTTTTACATAGAAAGAGCGACAGCGCACCGCATTAAAAGAAATTATCATTCTTCCACATAATATGTATTAATAATCAAATTAGTTAATTAATAATCAAGACCGAGTCATTAGCCATTTATGAGCCTTTCAGCAAAGAAAGCTCCAGGGTTACATTTTCTGTAAATCAGTTTTGATTAAGGCAGCCCGTACATTACTATTTCCAACAACAAATTATGTGCCCAAGTACATACACATTGTCCCATAAAAAGTAACATTATCCTTATTTCTGCATAATTTCTCTCTCAATATAGCCTTTAACTCTGAATTTATGATTTCCCCCTTTATTTAGTGCCTTTCAAGTACTTCAATTGATGCACACTTTGTAAAGTTGTTGAGATCTCTTCTAAAGCTTTACATGAGACAAATATGAGACCCCCAGATTATTTAGCTAAAGAGAAAAATCTGAGCACAGTGTGTGATGTTGTTGAGATCTCTTCTAAAACTTTAAACAAGACCATTGTGAGAGTGTTAGAGTTTTTGTCTCAGGAAACAAGTTTGAGAAGCAGGTGACTCAAGCAAAAATCTCCATTCGATCTTAAAGTAACCTCATTTCTGTCTAGGAGAAATATTTGAGATGCTAAAGAGATCTCACTTTTGATTTTTATTTCCTATGGGACAGTATACATGTGTGAACTTGAGGAGAACAGACTTCATACATCCACTAAAAATCACTGACATGCCAGTAATTAAAAGTCAATGAACAAAACTGATGAAGAAAAGTGAAGAGAAAATATCTAGCAGCTTTTTTTGTCCACTTGGTTTAATAGTGTGTTATCTACAGTGTTGGGAAGGTTACTTTGGAAATGTAATAGGTTACAGATTACAAGTTACCCTATTTAAAATGTAATAGTAGTGTAACTTTTTCAATTACTTTATTAAAGTAATGTAACTGATTACTTTTGATTACGTCGTTAACATTTTCATAAGTAACTGTAATTTAATTACACTTATTTTCCTAGTAACTGTAACTGATTACAGTTACATTTATTTTGTATTTAAATTACGTAACGCCGTTACATGTAACTAGTTACTCCCCAACACTGGTTATCTAGCACAACAAAGAATGTTTTTTAGAGTTTCACTTTGTGTTTGCTGTAAACCAAATGCATTTATTTCAAAAGAGGTAAAAGTGATTCTGATTGGAGATTTGCCAGGCAACCAAAATTGCCAAGTCATGCTTTGTGAATTAGAGGGTAGTGGTGCATTCTTGGCAGCAAAGCACCTCAAGCTAGGTGTTCCATATACATGACATGATTTGTGAAGTACAACTGGCCCAAGAAAAGTGCTGATGCGTTTCAGATTGGCCAGTAGCTTCTGTAATCACATTCATATTTTACTATCAGCGTGTGTGTGTGTGTGTGTTTGTATACGATGCAAAGGCAGGGACGACACGGTAGTGATTTCCAACTCTTTTATTAACACAAAACCAAGAGAAAAAGGTGAGGATGTGAGACAAGGTTGACGAGGTCTTGTGGCTACCGCTGGGGGCTAAGTGGAGGTCCTGCACTCTCAGGCCATCCATCCACCGGAGAAAGCAAAAAAAAAAAGCCTCCGGATTCCAGTTGCTAACTGAAAGAGCAGCTTTTAAACAGAGATTTAATAAACTAACATCAAAGCTTTTCCCCCAAGCACCTCAGGGGAGAGGGAGCCAAATTCATTAGAGGCCCACTCAGCTTAGGCAACCCAGATGACAAACGGTTTCACACATTTTCTCCTGGCACTAAATATAACTTGCCCAACCCTCCCTCACACATACTTCCTACTCTCTTTCTTTTCATATTAGATGCTTGCTCATTTTATGATACGATGATGCATTTGGGATGAAAAATACTACCTACTTTTCAATTCTACTTTCTTTATTCACTGATTTATGCGCTATAGTTTAATTACAGTGTTTGCAAGGCAGCATTATATTGATATTCCTAAAATATTCTGGTTTGGGTTTGAGCGATGCATAATATGTCTGTTGATTTTACAGATTTCTACGTTTTTTGGTTTTGATCAATACTGGATATTATTTGTGCACGTTTTCTTCAGACTCATTTTTATGTTTAGAATAACTTTGCCATTTTCTAATGCTCACTTAATTTACTAATTGCGCACTAATAATTTAGTCTTTATTTTAATTTATAATATGATGATGCCTAAATTAATTTGTTAAACTGTTGATTTTATTTCAGTGTGTTTATTCATTGCACAAAATACAATTTTATTATCAATTATTTATTGGTTATTAGCCGTAACATCAAAATAATTTTCAGCTTATTGGTATCAGGCAGAAATGTAATAACGGCGAATCCCAAAGGCTTTGTTCTCAAACCTAAATCTTTCTGCGATTTGTTCAGCACAAACCGTCTATTGTACAGACATTGTGTAGATCATTTTCAGCCAATTTCTGACTTACTTGCAGAGTTTTATTTGCATACTGAATTGCAACTGGTCTTGTCTTCCTTGTTGTATTTAAAGGGTGTTAAATGTTTACTCCACCCCAAAATGAAAATGTTGTCATTAATAACCCTCATGTCGTTCCAAACCCGTAAGACCTCCGTTCATCTTCAGAACACAAATTAAGATATTTTTGATGCATTCTGAGAGCTCTCTGACCCTCCATAGAGAGCAATGTAAGTAACACGATCAAAGTCCAGAAGCGTAGCAAGAAGATCGGTAAAATAATCCATGTGACATCAGGGGTTCAACCGTAATTTTATGAAACTACGAGAATACTTTTTGTACGCGAAGAAAACAAAAAACGACTTTATTCAACAATTCGTCTCCTCCGCGTCACCATAGCAACATTTTGGAGAGTGTCCACTGAACGCAAGCCGTGTGGTGCGGCTGATTCTTCCACCAAGAATCTGGAGTGCATTTGTGATGGACATCTAACTTTCCCATGAAGCCATGGAATGGCAGTGTGAATGGCAGTAAAGCAACAAAATTAATGTTTGTGAGTCACAGAACAGTAACAATAAGGTGGCTGTAGTAAGTCTGAATTTCATTCATGCTACTCATGTGTAGAACATACTATCAATTACTATTAATGGGCGTGAAGTAAGTTTCAAATAAAAATGTAGTGCCTATTAGACAGTATGTGATTACAGATGCAGCTAATGTTTTTTACTTTTTAGGGGAATCAACCTTCAAATGATTTATATTGTCTGCATATCACGATTACAAAGATTTTTAAAATCAGAAAAAAGCACCATTACTCCTTTATAGCCATATAATAAACTATGTTGATTTTGTTGATAGACTGTCTACAGCTGGAAGAAAACAAGACATGAACCAAAACCTAAACCCAAACTTCCTTTGCTGCCTTGCAAACACTGATATTTCCAACCGTAAATGTAAATCTAGTTGTTTTTGTGCTGTTGGGGTGAACGAGAGGCAAGGGCTATGCTGTTACTTCTTCCTGGTGGGAGTGGGGGACTTCATGCCACGGGGCGGAGCAGAGGATTTGGCATTTTGGGGAGGAGCCGGAGACTTGGCTGCAGCAGGGGCAGGGGTGGCAGACTTGGCAGTGGGAATTACGATGGGAACCGTGGGAGGCATGATCCTCTTGGGTGAGGGTGTGGGTTTGATGTCCGGAACCCTGTCGCCGTGTTTGTACACACTGACGATGATGTCCACAGACTCGCCGCCGTACTTGTTTTGGACCGTCATGGTGTATTTGCCAGAGTCCTCCAGGGACACACCTTTGATAGTGAGGCTGGCGAACTTGCCAGAGTCCATGGCAATGACGTACTGATCGCTGGGTTCTACCTCTTGATCGTTCTTAGACCAGCTGACCAGAGGTTTGGGGTCACCGCAGACTGTGCAGGTCAGACTCAGAGTCTGAAGAAAAGGAAAAAACAAATGCATAACACATATTTAATCTAAAAGCATTCTCAGAGGAAGTAGGTTATCATTATCATGCTACAGGCATAAATATGAGAAACAGCATGACTACGTTAAGCAGATGCACATAATTCTGAATGATAATATGATATTCTGATGGTGCAATGGCAACTAAAAATCCTATGTATCTTTCTTCAACAATTATTATTAGAATACATTTATAAAATATATTTGTATTTCAATATACTTATATGCAAAAAAATTTACATGTGTAAATTATACATGTGACCCTGGACCACAAAAACCAGTCATAAGGGTAAATGTTTTGAATAAATAAGCTTCCCATTTATGTATGGTTTGTTAGGATAGGACAATATTTGGCCGAGATACAACTATTTGAAAATCTGGAATCTGAGGGTGTAAAAAAAAAAAATCACAATATTGAGAAAACCACCTTTAAAGTTGTTCAAATTAAGTCCTTAGCAATGCATATTACTAACCAAAAATTATGTTTTGATATATTTACGGTAGGAAATTTCCTATATATCTTCATGGAACATGATCTTTACTGAATATCCTAATGATTTTTGGCATAAAATAAAATAATTAATAATTAATAAATAATTTTGACCCATACAATGTATTGTTGGCTATTGCTACAAATATACTCGTGCGACTTAACACCCAGCATCCAGGGCCATTTCCTTAAATTGCCGCATAAATAAATAAATTTAAAATGTACTGCAGAACATGAATGACCCTTTTAAATAATTTGTACATCTACAACTTCTTGCTGCATTTCTTTACTTTAAGAATTTTACAGTGAGAAACAGATTTCTGTAGAATGTTTTCTGGCCCCAGCGTCCAGGGCCATTTCCTTAAATTGCCGCATAAATAAATAAATTTAAAATGTACTGCAGAATATGAATGACCCTTTTAAATAATTTGTACATCTACAACTTCTTGCTGCATTTCTTTACTTTAAGAATTTTACAGTGAGAAACAGATTTCTGTAGAATGTTTTCTGGCCTCTACATGACAACATAAATCTAATGCTGTTTTTAGATGCTGCTTCTATTTTGCCAGAGTTTCATTTTTTTCACAGTAATGGATTTCAACAAAGTGACTCGTTTGGTCTTTTTAGGGAGAAGAGCAGCTCAATGAAAACTCAGATATACAGTACGAAGCCCTGCGGCGGGGAGCTCTCACTGGAAACCCACTGTGTACGTGACCTCAGCAGATCATCATGTGAAAGGTCTCCTCTCCCACATGAGTTCACCTCATGTTTGCTTTAATGGATCCATAGAGCCACTGACCTGCTATGTTTATTTGATCTGAAAGAGAAAAGGATGTTGGGCGTTTCCAGCATCAACTATTCAGGCGAATCCTAATCCCACCAACATCCTTTCACTGGCAGAATACACCATATTCCCCAAGCTGGCTTCATGCTGCTTGCAAGCAATGGATTATGAGGCCGAAGACAATGGACATGGATCTCAGGGAGCGGAGGAGTATGATGCCCTCCAGCGCACACTCCCAGGGCTGAAGTGAAGAGCCGCAAAACGGCACTCACCGGCACGACTGCCTGCGGCAATACTGATCACTAATGCATTGGCTATAGCTCTCCATGGGCGACTAAAATGAATGCTCTGGGTGCAATACAAGTTTAGGTCCATTGACAACATTTGAGGCATAATGTTGATTACCACAGAAAAATAATGTTGTCTCATTGCTCAGTTTCTAATAGCAAACAAAAGCCTTGGGTACAGTAAAGCATTTTCAATGGATGTCTATGGGGAACGATGTTCTGGGGGTTTCGGTCACACTTTAGTTTGGGGAACAGTTATCACTATTATCTAACTATTAACTATGACTTTTGCCTCAATAAACTCCTAATTTGCTGCTTATTATTTGTTAGTAAGGTAGTTGTTAAATTTAGGTGTGAGGTAGGATTAAGGGATCTAAAATATGGTCATGCAGAATAAGGCAATAATATGTGCTATTAAACAGCCAATATGATGAGTACTATGCATGATAATAAACAGCTAGTTAATAGAGAGAATTGGTCCCTAAATTAAAGTCACCCATAATTTTAATCTGGCACTGGCACAATAATTATTCAGTAAAATTCAATGATTTACTGTAATTTGCATAAATATATCTAAAACATCCTTTTGATATGTGACTACTTTTCTAGGTAGATTAACTTTTGTTTTACAGTAAGACTTCGTAAGTCACCAGAAGTCTATGGGTCTTCGTAAGTCACCGGAAGTCTATGGGTCTTCGTAAGTCACCGGAAGTCTATGGGTCTTCGTAAGTCACCGGAAGTCTATGGGTCTTCGTAAGTCACCGGAAGTCTATGGGTCTTCGTAAGTCACCGGAAGTCTATGGGTCTTCGTAAGTCACCGGAAGTCTATGGGTCTTCGTAAGTCACCTAACTGAAACCGCTGCCAGTATCTGCACCTTTGATACCATGACAGTATTTTTTTTCATCCCTGAAATTCCCTAAATACATTTCCTGTGTGTGCAGCTGCAACACTGGCCTTTACTTCCAATTATAAACACGTCTACACAGGATCAACGCCAGAACACGAGTTTGAGTTGACCATCTTTGTTATAACTCTTGTGGTGTAGTGTTTTGGAGTGGAAAAAAAGTCTTTAAAAATAGACAAAAACACTTCACATGACAGTCTTGCCATCACCTCCAGCATTGATGTGTTTTTCTCATTAATGCTGATTCTGGTAGTGAGGTTAAAACTGTTTGAGCTGTTGTTGAAGGATTTCACTTGATGCCCCCCCCACCCCCACCGATGTCCAATTATAATGTTTAGTCAAGGTTGTTTTATGCTAAAACAGTTATAACTTAACTTATAACTTATAACTTTCCTGTGACTATTTACAACCCTCTTTCTGACCATTAAAATTAAACGAGGAGGACGTTTTTTTTTTTGTCTAGAAGGTTACAGACCTATTTATGGTCAACTCTTAATACCTTTTGAATTTTTCAGAATTGTCAGTATTTACACTGTTTACTTTTTTTCTGATTGGTTAAAATAAGCTTAATGAAGTGACATAATTGCTGAACATTTTGTTTTTCCTTCATTTAATTGTGTCCAATCTACTTAAATACGTACATCTGAAGTTTGCTTAATTTGGTTGGTACTACCAAAATCATTTTTTGTAACTAGGCAGTGGATTTTTAGTTTTCAACACACTTTGCATATGGGCTGGATCAGACGTGTGTTATTTTATGTTTTGACTAAAGGGAAAGACCTGTTAAATGTTCTTGTGGTTACCATTGTGCTGAAGATTGGAGCTTGTAGTTAAGTGAATTAAGTTGATAGTGTATGTTGCTCCATTCAGTAAGCAATAATTGCATTAACATTAATGCAGTGACAAGTAACTTCTTACTTGTTCACTGCAAATGTTTGCTACACTAGCTTCAGAAGGTATTATAAGTGTACAACAACAATTCCTATTAATAATTTTTTAGAAATAATTACTAGTATAATGTATTGATGAATGTTATTTAGACTTTACCTAATTTATTTAAGTGTGTCATAGCTGGTAAATTTAGGTGTCTTTAGTCAACACATGGGATGAATTGTATAGGTTTGTTTTTACAACTCACGTTGTCCGGAGAGGTCCAGGGTACGAGAATGCGTCTTCTCGGGATCCACAGTCTCAATAGTGTACATTCCTTTATCCTTATCAGTCGGTTCTACAATCTCCAAAGTTGCCATTGCTGGGTTGCCACCAATTCTCATCCTTTCTGATGCAGGAATTTTAGAATCCCTTGAAGTACAGAGTAAATGAATTACATGAGAAACCCATTATTATCTGTTCATCACTGAGAGAATGACAAAACCAATACAATCACATGCATGCTTTTAACATGTTACAAAGAAGGCACGTTTAATCCCAATCACTTTTTAAGCTCAATTGTTTGCTCATTTTCCATAGAGTAAATGCTCTCAAAACGTTAGACATGCCTTTTTTTCAAGTGGGGCATCAAATTAGCATGTCCCTAGTGTAAAATTAGACACGGCGGGGGTTTTTTTTTTTTTTTGCCACGACTGAATGTGGTTTTTTGGAAGAAAGAATAAGAATTGTTTTAGTACAATGGAAACTGAAGTGGGTAGAAGTGCAGTGAATTGGTCAACCACTGTGGTTCACATTAATTGTGTATAAACAAATTTGTGAATCTGATGAAACATACTTTACCTCAAATAAAGCAATAAGCCCCAAGAAGCCGTGGTTTACAGTGAATTTATAACAGCTAAGGGGCGTTGTTAGGCACGATGCTTTTAAAAAACAGTTATTCCATATATGTAGTAAGGTTTCACAGAATAAAACAGAGAAAGTAAAGTGCAATGATATTAATGAAAACATTATTCTTCCGTCAAACAATGTAGTTCCTCAGAAACGGTTGTGGTTCTCAACGGCTCTGGTTTCAACAAAGTGGTTGCCGAGTAACACACAAATGTAAACAAAGGTGTATGTTTGTAGAGTAATTTACAACAGCTTCGAACGTGGCTTAGCCAATCAGAATCAAGGACCAGAGCTATCCGTTTTATAAATCATATTTTGTCATATTTTACCTCAAAATTAGAAAGAACTTTGCTTAAAGAAAATAATAACAAATAACTTATTTTACAATTATTTTTGCAATGTGAGAAAAAAATAGCAATCACGCAGAGTTTCCTAACAAATTCTCATTACTGTAATTCACTGTCTGTGTAGAATCACAGGGATTCTGTAGCCTATTCAAGGGTCCCAAGGCGATAACAGGGAAACCGGATGGATCCATCACAGGGCTCAAAAATTATATATGTTATTTAAATTATTGTTATATATTTTACCAGTCTAAAGTTTGGACACACTTGACTGAACTTGTGTTTCTAACAGTCTTATGCTTATGCTTAAAAGCATTAAATTAGTTTTATAAAATTGTAATAGAATAGTATCTTTAACTACTGTGTATATGAATTTTAATCAGATGGCTTTACTGATGCTTATTTATGCTCTTTTTAAAATCTGGATATGTTTTCAGAAGAATCACTTAAACATTATCAGAGTATCAGAGTCACCCTTGGGTTACAGTCATACAATTCATCACCAAGACCCTGACAGCTCCAGCACAGCACTAAAAATGAACTATGGGAAACCATAAAAAGTTCATAATTGAAGTTCTGGTCCATTTTAAGCTAGATGACCAGATTTAGACTCCATGGATAGGGAAGATGAGAGACGGTTGATTTAAAATCAGTTGATGTTAACACGAGTAAAGACATGCTGGCTTTGGAGAGCCAAATGACAAACATGATGATACATGTCATACACACCAGCGACACGACTGAGCTCGTTAATGATGTCATCAAAAGCTGTGGGCGAGAAAAAGACTTCTTTATTACACGTTTTATGGAACATTTTCCAGCACACATTTACATTTTTCTATATTTGATAAGACAATGCTGAGAGATGGTACCTTTGCCAGAAACATCAATCTGTGACACATCTTGACCTCTGTCATCGGTGATGGTTGCTTTATATAGTCCCACATCCCTCTTGGAGAACTAGAATATCAGGATAAAAAATTGAACAAACAAGCACAGCATCTCACAAAAACAGGACACCTAAGTGATGCTTTTTTTAGAGCATTACCGGAAGAATAGTTTTTGTGCTACATTGTCTTGGGAGTAAATTATAGCTTTTTCATATAGTTTTATAAAAATAGCTTTGACAAAAAATGTCAAAGAATAACCAGCATTACAAAAAATTACTACGGCACTCAATTGATTGAGACCCCTGGTTTCAATCCTCAGGGAGGTAGAAGCTCTTAAGGTTATTTCTCATGTGAAATGTTCTTATGGTAGTTCTCATAAGATGTCAGGAGCGATTATAACAAATGCAGTATAATTTTGTCATGCGTCAAGCTTCTTTGTATTTATGGAAGTTGCCCAAGCTGTTTTACTTTGTAACTGGGAAGAATATCGACTGAAAAAACAGAGCAATTACCCATAACAGTCCAGCAGGGATTATTTGTCTTTTTACTGAAATAACCTTTGCTATGGCACTTAGCATTGAGCATGCTTCAGTACATATCGGCTGAAAAAACAGAGCAATTACCCATAACAGTCCAGCAGGTATTATTTGTCTTTTTACTGAAATAACCTTTGCTATGGCACTTAGCATTGAGCATGCTTCAGTACACTTTTTATACATTTTAAACTTTGATTATGGAAAGCACAAACACAAACGTCTGTTACTGGCTACACTAGCGGTCACGAACCCATAAATGGGTCATAGATCTGTTCTGCTCTCTGGACATGATGGAAAAAACAATTGTGAATAATGCTAATAAATTGCAATTAGCCATATAAATGTGTATTGAATCACAATATCAGGATACCATGCAAAACATTTAAGAGAAGTAGAAAAGCTTCCCCTTATATTTAGTTGTTGACATTAAAAGGCTGTGCATTAAACTCAGTTTTGTTTTGTTTTTTTTTGTTTAAGCAAATTCACTAATGCTAATAGCTAATACAATTTAGCCCAGTGTTTGTTCCATGTGTAAGGCTTTTAGATCACTGTTCTATTGTTTATGTATTCACTGGAAATATTAAACAACCTGGAATATAATATTTGGGTGAAATGCTGTTTTAATATATAGTTTAGTCATGAAACTCTGGATGACGCAGGCTGATGGGTTGTTAACGTAACTGATGATATTCAGAGAGTTAAACGACTTGGCACAAGCTGATTGGTTCATGCTGCATATGCAGCCAATGAGCTTACTGCCTTGCATTTATATGGCTGGCTGGTATTCACTAGAGATTCCTGCAGCGCGCTTCAGAGTTTCTCTGAAACCCTCCACCTTCCCCAGCTTCACCTGTATTGATCTGGTACGGGTTATTTTATATGCTATTTGTGCAGCAGCAGTATGTCTTAAATACTCACGGCACCGTATCGCCGTATGCATTGGAAGTGGCAAGTTCCTGTACTTTCTTGCTGCAGCAGCAATAATCTACAACTACAGCAATAACCAACAGCAGCAGCGTAGCAGATCTATTCCGCCAAGACCAAATACATTAACATTGTCATATCCATCACCATGCTAAAATCTTCAGAGAGTTGTCATGATTAAAATACATTTAAATGTGTGATTTTAAGGCTTTTTGGTAAGCTTTAACAGATTAGAGTGACATTTGACTAAACTATTTTTAGCTTCAGTGTTTAGGAAATTAAGTGCTCACATTAGTTAGGGGGAACTTGCAGACTCCTGAGTTCAAGTCAGCAGGCACCTCAGAAATCACCTCTACATCATCCTTATACCATTGGAACACAGAGTCCTTCTTCAAATTAGCCACCTGAAGGGGGTCAGAAATGCAAAAAAACACCATATATCATCAGTCAGTCTTCAATTTGATATACAGTTTGCTTTGGCTAAATCATTCCCATTCAACTTGCCTTGCAAAAAAGAGTGACAGAGGCATTATCCCCAATTTGAATGGAGAGGAACTCCATAAAATGAGGGCCTGGAAGAATAAAAATGGAAAATTAACATTATGAAATCATGGGAAACTCAAAGAATCAGTGAGCAACTATACTGAAAAACATAAACCTAAACCAGTGGTTTGCTAGGCTTAGCTGGTCTCACAACCTGGCCAAGATGTTTGTTATCTGGTTTAGCTGGGAGGTCAAGAGACAAAATTTGAGATTAAAAATCTACTAGTCTGAGAAGAATCTACTACATAATACAGTATAAAAACTGGCATATTATTAAAATCTCTCCTTGCATGTTCTACGGAAGCAAGTCATGCAGGTTTGGAAAAAACATGAGGGCGATGAAAGGACTTTCATTTTAGGATCAACTATTCATGCAAGCAATAGTTTTTCATCAGGGAACCAATAAGAGATGTTTGTATATAATGCAAAGCTGGTTTGTAAACCTCAAAAAAGTAATATCAAGAATGGATTACAAAACCGCAGGTTGTAATTCACTCTATCTGAAGTTTATTTCAACAGCTGCATCAACGGGATGAGTGCAGTACCCTCTTTCACACGAATGTACTCCCTCCTTTGGTATTCCGCCTCAGCCAGCGCTGCCTTGAAGGCTGGAAAAGGAAAATAAAGCAGGAACTATAAGAGGTCAGTGAGTAGAGTTCAACAGAGGAGCGCAATATCTCAAGATGAGAGCTGCAGAAGCCCTAGAGCGATGCTGGCTCTCACCGTCTCCGATCAGCACCAGAGAGGACTGGGCCTTGGCTCTGCCATCTTGGATCTGCACGGTGAAAGTGCCCTCGCTGTCGTCAGTGAAATGATCCATCACCATCTCAATAATGCCTGTAGCTGCATCGTGACTCATTTTAGTTTGCTGTGAAAAAGCCGGAGAGGTAAACATTTCTCTCCTGGGCTTTTCTTAGGAGGCTCATGCAAATGGAACAGAAAAACATAACAGATGGTAGTATTGCAATAGAGCTGAATCTATTTATTTGGATTGGTTATGTTTTCGTGCACAGCAAAGGTTGGAGCTAAGCTTAAAGGGATAGTTCACAGAGAATGACAATTCAGTAATCAAATACAAAACCTGTATGTCTTTCTTTCTACCACAGAACACAAAAGGCATTACTTATAGCAGAAATTCCATGCTGGCCTCTTCAGTTCAGTGAAAGGGATGCAGCAGTATTATTTTGTAAAAAAAAAAAAAACACTAAAATTTTAAATCACATCATTATATATACACAGATAGATCTTGAGATCCTCTAAAACGTACATTTAACGAGTGTTATTAAATTATTTGTCTTTGTGAAAATTAAGTTGGAGGACAAAGGATATTAGAATATACACACTAAAAATATAATACCACGATATTACATTTAATATATTAGCCAATATATATTCAAAATAATCTGATAACCAGTATGATACTGATATTTTCTGTATTCCTAAAGTTAAATATTTTCAGTACATAATGACTTTAGTCATTTTGAAATTAGTACAGAAGTCATATGGACGCTGTTTGTGATGCTTTTACTGTGCTGTTAAACAACTTATTTTATGTTTCATAGAAGAAAGAAAGTCATATGGGGTTTGGAGGATCCTAAGGATGAGTAAATAATGACAGAATCTTCATTTTTGGGTAATATAAAACTCTGCTTTCTGTTTATGAAATAATGAAGACGTGGTTGCCTGTACCACTTTATTTGCAGTTGTTTACCTCACAGTTGACAAGCTCCTTGTTATTGGCAAAGAATTTGTAGGTCACAGCAGAGGAGATGCCCTCAGCTTGCAGCCAAAAGCGCATACGGCCTCTCTCTAGAATCTTATAGGCCAGTTCAGTCTTCAGAGGGATAACTGCGACACAAGAGACGTGATGAGTGACAATCTGACATATTGTCTTCTGTGTTGTCACTGTTCATATGCATGACTTTACACTTGTGAAATAACACATGCCGATCATATAGACAAATATCAGAGTTTTTCAGCGATAAGCCATGTCCTTTTTTACAGTGAATTTGAAATGCTTAAATGCTATTGTCAGGCCACAGACTGTATAAAAACATGGACGTAGTGTCCGTGACGTTACCATTAGGTTTCTGAAGAG